GCTGGATGTGATTGGATGCGCTAATTATTTTAGCAAGTTTGATATTCGGCATGGCTTCCATCACATTCTGGTTAAGGAGGAAGATCGACCAAAGATGACCTTCGTGCTGTTTGAAGGCACGTGGCAGTGGGTTCGGTGTCCGACGGGGATTTGCAACGCACCTGCCACGTTTCAGCGAGCGATGAACATGACATTCCAGAACTTCGTCAACAAGACGCGGCTAACTCAGGGAATGATCAACTTCTGCGTGATCGTATACATGGATGATATCCTTGTCTACTCGGAGACCTATCACGGGCATGCACAATACATTGAGTGAACGTTGGGAGCACTTAGGGACGCTGGGTTCAAGATCGCACTCGAAAAAAGCGAATTTTTCCTCTCGGAAATTTCGTTCTTGCCAACTTCTTGGGCTACGTCGTGACACGTGGAGGATTGCGGCCTGACTCGAGAGAGGTCGCAGCGGTGAGAGAAGCTCCGGTTCCCACGTCGCTGATACAGGTTCGAGCCTTCTTGGGGTTGGCCTCGTACTATCGTCGTTTCATCAAAGGCTTCGCCGCGATTGCACGGCCGCTAACGAACCTGTTACAAAAGGACCAGCCTCTCAGTTGGGACGCGGAGTGTGAGCAGGCCTTCGCGACCCTCAAAGACGCTCTGGCGACGACACCTATTTTGATCCGACCGGACCCCTCGAAACAGTTCAGTCTTATCACGGACTGGCGACCGGAAGCTATTTCCGCTATTCTAGCGCAAAAGGGGAACGATGGTCGCGAACATATCATCGAGTACGCGTCACAAACGGTGCCAGACGAACAAAGGAATGACTCAGCACCCCAAGGCGAATGCTATGCAGTAGTCTGGGGAATCCAGCGCTTCCATCCGTATCTCTATGGGCAGAAGTTCCGCCTCGTGACGGATCACGAGCCTTTGCTGGCTTTGAAGAAGCTCACTAATTATACGGGCATGATTGGACGTTGGGCGGTACGACTACGGGAGTACGACTTCGACATCATCCACCGGAAGACAAAAAGGCACGGCAACGCGGATGGACTGACACGTCTGCATCGGCCTACTAAAGTACCGAAGGGTGAGGAAATCACTCCGTGGAAGGAGTCAGAACCGGCAAACGGGCCTAAGTACGGACAAGTAGCAATTCTTCCACGTGGCAAGAAGCAGGTCGGTGGCAATGGGTGACAGAGGTAACCGCACTACCCCTCTTTCTCCCATCTCCTCTTCGTCTATTCTCTCCCTGCCTGATAAATTTTGCTATTTTTGCGAAGCAATTTCTCGCGTATACTCTGTCTCCCTATGAATCCCCCTCGGCGGCGGCCATCCGCGGCTGAATCCGCGGACGCGGCCAGTCCGCCGACCCCGTGGACGCGTCCGCGCGGACGCGCGGCTTTGAAGCCACGTGGTGGCCGCGGGGGAGCAACTTTCGAAATTCGGGATACGCCACGTGGCGGCGCATCCCCGGCCCCACCCCCCCACACAAAAAAAAAAGAAAAAGATCAACTTTTCGTGGGGGGGGGTATGGGCGAAATCGAACGAAATTGAAAAAA